AAATGGATGGGAGTCTTCTTAATATCTTASTGAACAACCTAATAAATGTCAAGAGGTTTACTTAGGAATAAATGAGGTAAACAGCCTGTTAACTATTTAAATAAATTCTCTATTTTTGTTTCTAGGATGTCAACAATTAGCTTGGATGGAAAGAAAACAACAAGAATAAACAGCAGAAACTGCCATTTAATCTTGGGCTTAAAGACAACTTTCATAACAAGCAAGTAAACACAATTCATTGACTAGCTGAATCAAAATATTTTGGCTAAAACTGATTAAAAAATTAGATCTTAAATGAATAAGAAAGAAAAAGCTTGGATTTAAACTGATGCTAGATTCTTGTTGCTCTGCTCCTGTAAGAGAAAAAAAATCATATACTAAGCCTTTTCTTTCTTTTCTCTGCTCACAAAGAGAAGATCCTGTAGATTTATTTCTTGTTTGTACTGGAGAGCACAGCTGGTTTAGCTTCTCCGTCAGACCCCCAGGATTCTGTCATTATAATGACTTTTTAAAATGCACAGTTTATTTGCCTAGGCAAAATTTGAACTACATTCTGGATCCAAAGGAAAAAACAAAACAAAAAACAGTACCACCTTTAGAAGGCAGAGGTTTTCATTCTAAATACTGTAAAAAAAATACTTCAGTGTAGTATGGCTAAGAAATTATGTAGGAAAATTAGTCCCATTATGGAGGCTATTAAACATACAATAGCTAGACGAAGACAAGTATTGCTCTTCACAGGATAAAAAAAAAAAAAAAAAAAAAAAAAAAANAAAAAAAAAAAAAAAAAAAAAGGAAAAGTTTCTCATGATCACATAGCAGCAATGATTTTCTGCATGAAAAATGATTGGGGGGGGGGGATAAGAAAGAAAACAGGGCAATAAAACAAATTCAAAGCATTATAAAATGAAAAGTGGAAGCTTTAAACCAGTGTGATGAGCAATTAGGAGATTTAAAGGAAACTCACTACAGATACCAGAAGAAGGGAAGGTACGAAAGAATCATGGACCCAGAAGGACTATCAGAACATAAAAATAAAACATGGGAAGGGAATGGCATGAGATAAGACTGGTTTCTTGGCATCATTAAACAACAATAAGCATCGTTGTATGTCCTCTAAAGATATTTTTAACTGGAAGAAAATGAACAGAGAAAATTCTGACAGAACTGAACTTGGAAAAAAATAATCTATTTAACATCAACAAGTTATCAGCAGAAGAGTATATTCACCTGCTTCAGAAAGAAATGAAGCRCTTGTGCTTTTTAATATAATCTGCCATTACTAGAAACGGCTGGAAAAAGATACTGCACTAACCATTAAAGAGGTATTACAGCTATTTATAAGTAGGAAGATACCTTTCTATGTCAAGTTAATTAATTGATAAAATAAATAAAAATGCTACATAAAATGCTCATAAAATGCTCCAATATTTCTAGAAAGTTGGATTAACCATCAGAAAAATCATGTCTCCAGGCTACCAGCACAGGCTACTTGTGGGAGCAAGACAAAATACGGCAAAATGACTAGTAGACATATCTGCCTTGGATTTTTATGAAACCTCTGACAATACGCGAGACTTAACACACACCTAGGTTTCACCTGGGTTTCCGAATATCCTCTGAGTGTTGGTGTCAGTGCAAGACAAACAGATAAAAGCCAGATTATGAGAGAACAGTATTGACTACTTGTATAAGGGGGAGTAGGGAATGAAAAGCTATCATGAAGTTCTGAACTGTGAAGTGCTATCTAATCCATACATTAGCTGGCCTTTCCATTGCCGTGTCCCTGTACTGTGGAGGTATCAGACATGCCCTATCCTGCCTGCCCTTAACGACGTGTGTTGCACAGGCGCTTCAGCTCACAGGACTGCCTCTCCGGTTGGATTCGGATGGATCCATAAAATGGTAATGGAGAGATAGGGCCCCAAATAAAAATGGAATGAGAGAGAGCTTAAAAATCTATTWAGAAGGAAGCAAACAATTACTCAAATGCTACCTTACTTTGAATGACTGATACCGAATGCTTACTATTACTTTTTTTTGACAATATGCACTTTAAAATTTAAAATATTATCAGAGAAGAAAGGATGAACAAAACTTGAAAAATATAAAATTAGTTCAGAGCTTACTGAAGTCAATGAAGGACTTCCAATGGCTTTAATAGAYTTTGGCACCAGTCCTTAAAGCGAAGCAAAGAAAACAGAAGACAATATAAACTGAAGTAGGGTTTATATCCCTACAATAAATAATGTATGTAATCTCAATTACTGGAAGCACTATTTGTGTATACCTAATTTATCATTATTAAAATGAGATTATGGCAGTTTTATGTGAGACAGAGGTAAATCAGTGTCATTACTGAAAACAGTTCACGTCCATTATCCATTACAATTACACAGGCGCTTTCATTCTTAATTGTTTCAAAAAATCTCAATATTACTCTCTGGCTTAGAAAAACATAGCATAAATGTATAGCATATGTGTGAAACTAAACTAAAAACAAAAATATGTTGAATCAAAAATATTTAAATATTTTTAGACTTTTAAAGATTTTAAAGATTAAATAATTGAGGTGCAAATAAAACATAGCAGGATCTTGAACCTACGTTTACTGGGAACACTTGCTAAAATGGATAGCTCCAACAAACCAGGAAGATGTCCCGCACACAGAAAGCCAGATGGCTGCGCAAATCCACAGCCACCGTTTGAAGGCTGGTCCACAGAAAATGCTGCTCTTTCCTTCACATGAGAGAGATGAGCCAATAGGTACTTGCAAGGATGTCTGAAAGCAGGTGCTGGCCAGCAYGCTGGCAATGCCAGCGAAGCAATGCCAGCTCCACCTGCATACACGGGAAAGGAAAGCATCCCCACGTCATGTGCTATTCCTCCTAAGAGGGTCTGATGACATAAGGTCTGTGTCACCTCTTTACTTCAATACTCTGCACCTTCTCTGTACAAATTACCTTCTCTTCAGATKGTTCTGTGCAGATTTAGTGAACACAACTTCCGACCCAGTCTACTGTGTCCCTGGGGAGCACGTTCCACATGATTGCCAGCTTCCTTCATAGCAGAGATGAGAGAGTCACCCATTAATTCCGAAAAGGTCGTGCCACCAAMCACGGACACGTGCATGGTTTGACCAGATCCAGTCTGTTTCTCTCCTACATCAGTGAATGTGCAGCTACCAAACCTTAGACTTTGCATTTTCACTGGATTTTTCAAGAAAAAGAAATCCTCTTTCCTAATGACTGCTTACTACTATTTTGACATATCTATTAATTTGAAAGCTGGGTAATCTACAGCCCCTTATCTTACCTATTAAATAGGCACAGCACAACGCAAGTCCCTGAACTCCCCTTCTGCTTTCTTCTTCCCTGAGACCTTAGCCAAACTAGTTAGCTTTTAGCAGCTATCTGATCCTTTTGCTCTCCTGAAAAGACCAACAAAAAGTAAATTAATGCCAACTGTGGGGGTGATTTTATATTGACACTTTTCCAACAGAATCCAGACTCAGACCACCAGTGTTTCACAGGAGACACCCACGCATCATCAGATGGTTGCAATTTTCCAACAGCAACTGTCCTGCGCCGCATTCAGCATACTAACCACAGTCAAAAAAGATTTTTTATTTCCTTATCAGTCATTTCATGACTGATATTTCACACTGGTGATGCATTTTTACATATTCAGATACAGAGCACCCTATTTAGTATACTTACTGTCTTAAAACTGTCCAARTACAAAACAAATAAAAATTTAATCAACCCCTGCAATGTAAACTGATATTATTTGATAAGTGATATTAACCTGCTATGCTTCCATCTCCAGCACAGCTCGTCAGCAATTATTTTATCCCACCAGCCAAAAGGCTAATCCCCACAGCAGCTGTTACTACTCCAGTACAGAATGAATGTGAATTTAACCTCTCCTGGATACAGCCTAATAAATTCTGCTGTTTTCTTAAGCACTTCTGTGAATTAAAATGGACGTTGGCTTGCCATCCAAATTCATGAACAGGTCTGAAGTGGCTTTTAGGCATGGAGCCAAATAACTTCCCAATTCCCTTATAGGGTATAGCTCTCACTCCAGAGATCTTCCTAGCAAGGAATAAAAAACATCTTTTCCATTTCCTTATAATTATTTTTAAATTTCTTTGCATTATTTAAGCAATCGAAACACAAAATTACATTAAAATAATGCTAAAGATTCATTTGTACTATATACATCTCATTAATTTCAGCTTAATTGCACCAGTAAAATATATATAGAAAAAGCACATGCTCTCGTGCAACCTTTGCGACAGTTGCCAAGGCCAAGCTTTGGAAGGAGAAAGTTTGACTACAGAACTCAAGCTCACACGCGCTTGAGGACTGAGGAAGGCTGAGAAAACCAAGAATATTACCCAGCAAAAGGTCGATTTGGTTATTAGAGGCAAATTAGCATTTCAGCTGAYGCTTAACTTTATTCCAACTAAGCCCAACAAAAGGGTTGGCTCAAGGCTTCCATTTCCGCGGGCTTCAATCTCAGTTTTCAAACCTGACTTTGGTTTGACAAAGCACTGAGCAACGCGCTGAGCTTGGGAGCAGTGGGAAACCTGCACCTTGCAGCGCTTTATTGGTGTTCCTGCACGTTCCCTACGGGCCACGGAAGGTCTCCCGTCCCCACGGGATTCGGGAGCCAGCTTGCCACACGGTGTGCTT